GTTGTTTTTTAGTCAGATCATTATATCCCCTTAACCTTGAAGAGAAACATCATAATTGAGGAGTTAATCACAAAAATTTCGTTAAAGATTCGTGTAGCAGGCCAGAGAAGACTATCTTTACTTCAGTACAGATTTCCTACTGAACTTTTTCCGCTCACGTATACATCATTTCAGCTTTCAAATGATGATGATGTTTCTATGATGGTTGATGCTCATATGGGGAGTTCACAATCTCTTATTGAATGTACTACTTTTATTGAGGTTCGTGCAACTCGTGGTCTCTCATATTCCTCTCACTTTGGCATTGCATATCAAGCTGATCAAGTTGATAGCTCGACACAATTGATTTGTAATGATTTCACATCATTAATGGCGGATCCAACGCCAGATACCATGACATCAAGTTCAATAGGAAGGCATTCATCTGCAACTGCTTATGATCTCAACCCACGTGGCTTCACCAATAATCCATATGGCAACATCTCTTCTACTTCAAGGGGCAGACATTCATCTGCCAATGTTTTCGACTTACATATGGAAATGCCAACGAGATAGCAGTCTATTCACATCCCACATGATACAATGGCCTCAAGTTCAAGGGAAGGACACGCAAGCGGGAACTTATTTGACCTCAATATTGGATTATCGGAGGAACCCTCATCTCCACCAGAAGAACCTCTTCGGGAGCCAGGTACAGATGGTGCTGAAACATGATTATTCATTGAACCTGACTCACCACAGTTTAACGTACATTCTGATGATGACGAGAATGACGTTCCGATAAATACAACACCAGCCGAACTTCCTGCACATATGTATGAGGCTGATTATGATGCAATGTATGAGCCTGAATTTCCAGATCTTCCTGATGTTGGCAACTATGGACTTCAATCATTAGTCAATGACGGTAATTTACATATTGGAATGGAGTTCGCATCGAAGGAGGAAGCAATGATGGCAATAAAGAGTTACAATATTCGTACCTCAGTTAAGTCCCGAGTTGATCGATCTAACACGTAGAAATATGTCTGCTACTGCGTCCAACGTGACAACGGATGTCAATGGATGGTCCATGTATCAAAGAGGAAGAGGAAGAGCAACTTATGGGAACTAACCAGATACAACGGTCCTCATACATGTTGTGCAACAGGTATAAACCAGGATCATCCCAACTTGGACTCCAACATTATTTGCCAAGCAATCATGCCCATTGTGAAGCAAAGCTCTCATATAGCTGTTGCAGTGTTGATTTCTGCTATACAGTCACAATATGGGTACACTGTCTCATATAAAAAAGCGTGGTTGGCAAAACAGAATGCCATTTGCAAACTTCATGGCGAATGGGATTCCTCTTACAACAAGCTGCCCAGTTGGTTTCATGTTGTGCAAAGACTTAATCCCGGGACAATTGTTGAGTTCGAAACTCAACATCATTACGTGAATGATCGAATGGTTCGCGGTCGCTGCCAATTTTACCGTGTCTTTTGGACTTACCCTCAGTGTATTAATGCAGTCAAGTATTGTAAACCAGTTGTCCAAATTGATGGTACTTTCTTGTATGGAAAATACAAGCAAGTTTTATTATTGGTTGTGGTCCAAGATGGAAACCGCAATATTCTTCCTGTTGCGTTTGCCCTCGTTCAAGGAGAAGACACTGAGTCTTGGGTTTTTTTCCTTAAAAATTTACGTTTACATGTTGTCACCAGGGAACGAGTATGCATTATTTCAGGCCGGGATAAAAACAATGGACCTTTGGGTACAATGGATAGACCTCCACATGTTCAACATCGTTATTGTGTCCGTCATATTGCTGCAAACTATTACGGAAAATACAAGAAGAACGATGAACGTCAGTTAGTCGTGCGGATGGGTATGTTACTTTTTCCCAATTTTTCTATCAATTTCTTATTACTTATTTATACTTCATATTAACTATTACATATTCCTAATGGCTTAGGTTACGAACTCTTACCTCAAAGGTTTGAGTCGATGCTACAAGAATTGTTTGGCAAAAATAAGAAGGGGTGCGAGTACATTATAGACATCAGCAAAGAAATGTGGACAAATGCATATGACGGGGGGTATCGCTATGGTCATATGACAACAAACTTGGCTGAAGCAATAAATTCAACCTTAAAGGGGGCGCGTCATTTACCAGTCACGGCGTTGGTTAAAACGATTTATTTTCGTTTGGGTCAACTCTTTGCAAAGCTCGGTGGACAAGCTCTTACTTGGATGCAAAACAGCCATATTTACCACCCAAGACTAGTAGTTGATTTATAGAAAAAAGTGGTTGCATCAAATGGGATGTTAGTTACAAATTTTTCTCGCACCCATGAATTGTTTCGTGTAACCGAAATGCCACGTCCGCTGCAAGGGATTGGAGCTAACTCTTTCAGAGTTAATCTGCAAGAAAGGTGGTGCGATTGTGGTTTCTTTCAAGCACTCAAATATCTATGCTCTCATGTCATTGCAGCTTGCTCACATTCGCATTTGGACTACAAAAATTATGTTGATCTCGTATACCAACTTTCACAAGTATTCAAGGTATATGAATTTGAGTTTCTGCCCATAGGAAATGAAAGAAACCCAAATGAGATTCAAACTTGGCTTACAATTGTACCAGATCCATTGCTATTGAGGGACTCAGTTCGTCCAAAATCTACTAGAATACATTGTGATATCGATATTCGGAAGAAGTCAACAGAACAAAACGATGTGGCATTATAGAAATATCGGGCATAATAGAAAAAAATGTTCAGCTGTTATCATCATATAACCGTTAACTCTTATGTAATTAATATTGTATTTAAATGAATGTTTTGTTTCTAATAATTTAATGTTATTGCATTTATAATTTGTTAATGTATGTACACCTAAATAATTTTTTTAACTTTTAAATACATAAATATTTCAATATTATTTAATATAATAATATTATTAGTTATAATTTTTTTAAAATATAATAATAATTCCACCTTCTAAGTAGAGAAAAATATTAAATTAAACAAATTAAAAGTTATTAAAAAATTTATGTATACGATGACCATTTCATGTTCTGATTAGAGGATTAAATTTATTAAATTAAATTTTCAATAAGACTAATTTCATAAAATATGTAAGTCTTGAAGATTAAATATATAATTATACTAATTTATTAACTTCCATGAATTGTTTCGTGTAACCGAAATGCCACGTCCGCTGCAAGGGATTGGAGTTAACTCTTTCAGAGTTAATCTGCAAGAAAGGTGGTGCGATTGTGGTTTCTTTCAAGCACTCAAATATCTTTGCTCTCATGTCATTGCAGCTTGCTCACATTCGCATTTGGACTACAAAAATTATGTTGATCTCGTATACCAACTTTCACAAGTATTCAAGGTATATGAATTTGAGTTTCTGCCCATAGGAAATGAAAGAAACCCAAATGAGATTCAAACTGGCTTACAATTGTACCAGATCCATGCTATTGAGGGACTCAGTTCGTCCAAAATCTACTAGAATACATTGTGATATCGATATTCGAAAGAAGTCAACAGAACAAAAACGATGTGGGCATTATAGAAATATCGGGCATAATAGAAAAAAAATGTTCAGCTCTGTTATCATCATATAACCGTTAACTCTTATGGAATTAATATTGTATTTAAATGAATGTTTTTGTTTCTAATAATTTAATGTTATTGCATTTATATAATTTGTTAATGTATGTACACCTAAATACTTTTTTTTAACTTTTAAATACATAAATATTTTCAATATATTTTATTTAATATAATAATTAATATTATTAGTTATAAATTTTTTTAAAATATAATAAATTCCACCTTCTAAGTAGAGAAAATTTAAATTAAACAATTAAAGTTATTAAAAAATTTATGTATACGATGCACATTTCATGTTCTGATTAGAGGATTAAATTTATTAAATTAAATTTCAATAAGACTAATTTCAAAAATATGTAAGTCTTGAAGATTAAATTATAATATACTAATTTATTAACTTATGCATCAATATTTTCGTTAAATATTGATAAGAGATGACTAGATTGATAACATTTAAATAATTAACTGATAAAATTAATATATCGATAATCAAAATCAAAAATAATAATAAACCATATGTGTAATATTATAATTTCACATTTTTCCTATAACTACAATAAAATCAAAACTGGTTTTCATATATTGTCTATCATATTAATGTAGATAATTCACTCCACCTTTAACACACATTAACAAAATACATTGATAATTCTTACATATAATCGAAACACTTTACATAATATATTACTATTATAATAATAATAATAATAATAAAATATTTAGTATTAAACAAAATATCAGCGTGGCAGTGAGTCATCAGAATCCAGTGAAGGCGCGTCCCGGGGATGCGCCTTCCACATGTGGCATCCAACTCAGCGAAAACACGGGTAAAGCGCGTCCCCGGGGACGTGCCTTTTGCCAGCTCAGCCGAAAGGTGCACTCGGAAATATATCAATCGGTGCTAAAAAGGTAAATATTCAGTTAAATAATATATGTTTGGTCAAATCGCCCTTCTTTCACGGCCCTCTGTTGTCGTCGTACATTGATGTCCAACGGTGGAGATGAAACATTAGTTTGCGGCTTGCACAAATAGCTTAGGGTGGTCTCCTTCTTTGATCGATAAGCAGGCATTTGTCTCAATTATCTTAGCTCTTAATTTTCTTATGCTTTGGTGTGTTTTTTACTAGACCCTTTTGCTCTAAAGTCGTCATGGCGTATCAGTGATGAAGTGAATATATGCAGTCGAATCTGGGGGGGGGGGAATGAAAGCTTAAGAGCTTTATATTTATAGAGTTACTTTTGTTACTCAATTGTTGTTTTTCTCGGACAAATGTTACATGGCATGATTACGAACATGAGGATCTAGGCTTCTGTATTTTATTTTTTCTCGTTCGATTTAACGTTTGTCATAAATTATTTTATTTAGATTGTATTTGATCTTCACACCTTGCTTTGCAGCTGAGCTTTTTGTTAACGGCGAGATGTTCAAAGGTCCCCGAAAGACAGAGGAGGTGGAACCACAGCCCCAGAGGGCCCAAGACAGACCAAGGTACAACGACAGGACCGCCATGCACGTCGAATGCGCTGAAACCTACTATTACAAAAGAATAGGTGTATAGAGTGGAAGCAATGAGGTTGATGTGTTGCTGGACGTATGAAAGACAGAGGAGGGTGGAACCACAGCCCCAGAGGGCCCAAGACAGACCAAGGTACAACGACAGGACCCGCCATGCACGTCGAATGCGCTGAAACCTACTATTACAAAAGAATAGGTGTATAGAGTTGGAAGCAATGAGGTTGATGTGTTGCTGGACGTATGGATGATGAATGGCATCATATGTTTAATGTAGTTCTATTCTGAGCTTGGTTGAATGCTTTGTATGAACTCTGATGATCTTATATGAAGTCATGCTCATTGAACTCGACTCATGTTAACTTTGATTATTTCTCTCGTCTATGAATTATAAAAGAATTATTCCAATATCATAAATGCAAAAAAAATCCAAAATAAGGAAAGAAATATTAATAAATTAATAATAAATAAAAATATAATATGATATAACCCTAAACAAACGATTTAAAAACCCTAATGCTAAGAAAACAAAAAAAAAATTGATTTTTTTCTCTTTAAATTGTACAATTTGGTCTCTCTCTGCCCCAACCAACAAGATCTTGATATAACATTCAAATACAATGCATAATCCCCCTGAGATTTCCATAGACTTTTTAAGTACATTTACATCTATGAAAGATCAATGCTAGAAAACCTCTCATTTTCTTCATATATGCATATATATACATATATATACATGTATTTTGTTTTTCCCTTCCCCCAATCATTTTCTTTTTGCCAATTGAAAAGATTTCTTCAAAAAGCTATTGGCTGCTCTATCATTCCTGTGGCACAACACTCTTAGGATTGTGTTTGGATCTGACCGATTCCACCTTCCCGTCGTCGGTGGCATCGGTAGCTTTTGGCATGAGCCGATGGAGTTTATGCCACTGGTTTCGCACGCCACAATGCTGAAATCCTCGGTTAATTGCTCAGCGTTTGAGCCAACAATGATACCACACCTTCAACTATCTCGGCCTCCCTTTGAACCACATCTTCGCTTAGTAACCCTTCTCCGCAAGTGCAAAAACCCTTTTCAGGCTATCGAAATCCTCTTCGATCATCTGGTGGTCGGACCGGTTGAAGGCTCGAGACGTTCCCCGGCGAGCAAACCGTGAGGAATGCTTCGAATGATGCTTTCATCACTTCTTTCATCGCCAACGCTTGTGAGTGGTCCGTCAGTATGGCGGTGAGGAGGGATAGGTTTTGCTTTAGGATACGAACCGCGGGTCTGATTCTCGAGTTGGACACATCGCCGACGTAAAGGGTTTCGTAGAATACAGAGCTCGAGTCCAGGAAGATGAGACGATAAGCGGCAACTTCCGATATGTGATCGCAAGCTAGTTGGATGGATGTGTTGTGTGATCAAAGTAAGAATATGAGCTGCCACCACGCTGCGGCTGAAACGACTCCGCGTCGAGACTCTCGGCGAGAGGCTAAGAGTTTTGTTGAGCGAGTGTAGGTGGGAGGATAGGTAGTGCAAGGTGTTGAGACGGATGTAAAGGCGTTGCGTTCCACGGCTTGTTGATGGGCGAGGACTTTGACCTTCTGACGTCATGAATTTCTGCACGCCCGCCGTGCCGATTATGCATGGATTGGCCTTTCTCCAAAGCTTGGAGAATCTTGAATCTCGGCTGCATCTGGTTAGTGGAGGAAGTGAAGGCAGATAACTCTGCTTTGACCCTAAAATCAAACGAGAGAAAAAAAATAAGCTTTCCATGAAAACAAGCTTAGAATGATGCATAAAACCCTAAACCCTAAAATGGGAGAAAAAGAACAAAGCTTTTAATGAACCCTGAACCCTGAAATGAACGCAAAAGAACAAAGTTTTTTTCATGATCCCTACACCCTAAAATGAGTGCAAAAGAAGTGAGTTTTTTCATGAACCCTAAACCCTAAATGAATGCAAAAGAAGAAAGTTTTTTTTCATGAAACCCCTAAACCATAAAGATGAAAGTTCTTACCACATGATGCTACAAAAGTAGTGTATTCTTGGAAGAGATGCTCCAAGCCTTCAGCTAGGTCAAGAACAGAATCATCTGTGATTCCAATTGGAATTTCAAAGAAATCATTCACCATCCTCGGCTATATTCATTAGCTTCACAGCTGATTGTGCATATGGCTCAGATTTGGACTTAGGGTTCCATGTCTGCAAATATCCAAAACCCATCACAGATTATTCATGTTCATCGCTTGTAAATTTATGTAATATATATATATATATATATATGACTCACTTCTGTTTCTTTTGCTCTACAAAGCAACTCTCTGCCTTGCTTTAACCTTTCATCTATCCATTGTCTCAAAAGCTTCATGATGATGGAATCAACTTCGTATGGCATCATTTCCCTAACCATTCCTTTGACTCCGTCATCGAACTCTTCGGAATCTTCGACCACCATTTGTACCAACACCTTTTCGAGCCTCGAAGACCTTTGTAATGCCCCGATGATCTCGCCGTTGAGTATACTCGTCCCGGCTAGGTATTGCTTCAACACCGCTCCATAGCATTGGTGTAGCACTCCCACCGCAACTCCGGCTGCTATCGGATGCCATTTCTTCAATATCGGACTGAATAACTCCCTCTCCCTCATGGCCAACTCCTCGGTTTCATTAGCCAACTGAAGTAGAGCCTCGCTTGCTTCTTCCCTGTCTCCTTTCATCTCGTTTTTCATATGTTCGTTTGCGATTATCTGTTTCAATCAACTCGGGAAATGAGAATATATTTTCTCCGCTTAAAATTTTATAAATTCTTTTGCTAACACATGCATGCGTTAATGTAGAACTCACCTTTGCGAAGGCATTTTTTACGGAAGATCGAATGTAGTGATCGACACGATCGCTCGTTGAATCGACTAGCAAAGTGTCCCTTTGTTTCCTTCCCCTTCCATAATTGTAACATCTTCGCCTAATAATTTCATCGATGATAAAGCCAAATGCAAAAGATTTTCAACTCCACCAACTGTTTGTTTGTTGAAATATTCATGGTAATTAAGCAACCTTTTCTCCGCCCATTTTTGCATCGAGGCCAACATCGACGACAATAGTTTCACGTACGACGCCTCTCTGTCCAGCTTCTTTGCATCGATTGCCACCTCGGTCAACATGTTATAGGATGCACAAGAGATCGGGCTCCATTTGGTTCGTCTCAACATATTGCTGAAAAAGCACCCAAGTTAAACAAACGTTGTGGATTGGCCTATTGATCGCCAATGTAGACCATGCCTTTTTCATCAGCTCGAGTAACTCGTCGACCTCATCGAGGACTAACGTGTCGTCCCTGATATCGAAAATGGCCTGAAGGAGGGAGATGTAGATGTGAATGTTTAGAGGGAACCCATCGGCCCAATGGCATACATCGCTCGAAGCTCCGTTAGCACTTCGCCACGATAAAGACACTACGCAATTACATAACGTCCTCATCATGTCGGAGTTCTTGTTGGTGTCGATAGGCTTGATGTTGCTCTCGGATTATCTCGCGTAGGTGTATCGCTAACGAATTCGATTTCTCGATAGGGATGGACGGATGATTTAGGAGGCCCGCTTCTAGGATTTTAAGTTGACGTCGTTGCCAAGAATGATACTCGTGCATGTCGTTGAACTCCGATGGTTTTAAGTGCCGGAGAACCTCGAGTGGAAGAATGATCGTCTCCGATCTCCTTCCCACCTGTTGAAACAATTACAAACAAGGCATAATCACAATTAATCATTGCATTCATAGTGGTAGATGATACCATTGATATTATTATACTACTTGGCCAACAAGTGTCCTCATGAGAGTTCTCCTAAGCCTATTGTCGCATTGTTCCGTAACCTTCATTTGTTGCCTCATAATCTCCGCCGACGTTAAAGGTCGCCTCGGCCTCGACGGTGGCCCTCGTTGGTGGCAACTTCGATGGAGGTAATGTCGAAAACCCTCCGGGGCTACAACTCAAAGCGGAATTGACATATCCATGACTAGGTAACACCAGCGGGGTGGAGCCCGGAGGGATCGTTGCTCAAGCCTACCGTCGACATTGACATCCTCCGTGAAGGAGATCTTTTCAACATCTTCAACCCCAATGCCCTTTTAATCTTACTTTTCGGTGTCGTCGTCACACCGCATTCACTCGCCTACCCGACGATCCCGGGGACCCTGCCCATGCGACGAATATGACGATCCTCCGTCCCGGTTCCCTTGACGATCCTGCGAAGAATAAAACGTCAAGGCGCTCCTACCTCCGAACCCCGGTGACGAACGGCAAGCCATGAAGAATATCCCGTACGCCGCTTCGCGGATGTCGTCGTGGTCGAGATTTTCCAGCGTGCCGAAGGGCCATATAAGGTCCATGTTATTGTTATTGTTGTTGTTGTCATTGGAGGTGCAAGTACTAGTGGAGGGAGTCGGGGTAGTAGCGGCGGTGAGGGTCGATCCGCCATGGTGTAGAGAGGTGGAGAAGTACTCCTGGCGGCCCATGGCGGAGAAAGGGGCGGAGGAAAACGGAGAAAAACTCAGGAACAAATGGATCAATGTTGGGGTTATTATCCGACAGGATAGATAACGGATGGACAAACGATTGCATTTCTCTTTAGAAAGAGAGAGGGAAAAACCAAAACGAACAGAGATTTTGTTGGTTATGATGACAGCATTTTGTTGTTCAGAGAGACACAGAAAAGGGAAAAATTCGAAACAGAATCGAAGAAAAAAGAAGAAACATTGCTGGTTTGATGGGTTTGTGTCCAAAAAACATGGAAACATGAAACCAGAAACCCTAAGTTAATTCAATGGAATTGCTTTGCCCACGTTTGGTTCCATCAACTATATCGTGACACGTGTATAGGTGGTGGTGTTTAGTTTATTGTCTGGTATAATTAGTTAGCTGCATGCATGCGCTTATACAGCTTCCTTGACGTGGCCATGCATGTTATACGTATCACCACTACATTTCTTTTCCTTCCAACTTATAATTGCCAACGACCACTTACTAGTGTTCAACGTTCTATCGAGTCGAATCGAATCGAGTCAAAATATTTCGAGTTATTCGAGTTGATGAGTTATATTTCACAATTCGAACTTAACTTAACAGAAATTTGAGTCGAGTTATTCGAGTTTCTATGTTACTTTTATTATATTTTATAGTATTATGGTAAGAATTGA